AGTGCCATAAGTGGCAATGGCGGTTGTGTGTTGGGAATATGCCATTATTAAGGAAATGTATGAACTAAATATTTTTCCAACAGTGGGGTTGTTACTGGAAGAACAATCTGTCGAGGAGATTTTTAATAACAAGAGAAGAGGCAAGATTTTTTCATGTTTAAGATAACTCTGCTCAGGAGCACGAGCGAAATGGCTGTCCTGTTTTATTGCTTTTTGTTGTACAAATATAGATTGAGTCTAGCTGTGGATCTGAGAAGGAGTCATTTTCTTCATTGAGGAAGTTTTTCATAAGAGCTTTTTCCAAGATGTTCTCGAGGCCAAATACCATGGAACACACAAGTTCTCTACTGTTGATAGGTGACTCAGCTACATTTAACTGACAGGAATTATTTTTTACTGATGTGATCAGTTATGATAAATTCAATCTTGTATTACCCTGATTACATTGGAAATCTAATTAAATAACGTTTGGATATATTGCTCTCTAAAAAACTTGTAAAACTAAAAACAAATTGAGTGTTCGTCCTCGAGTCAACGTGAAAATGAATCAGCTTGCATTTGCTCAAAATTATATTTAGACATCATTAACAATAGCTGACCCGCGGCTGCAGTTGTCACGACATCATCATCAACTTGTAAACAATGGATACTAAAAACATCGCTCGACTTGTAAGTCAAATCATGTGGAAACGTTCAGCCTATTAATCGGTAAGGTAAATTTCTCATGATATCAGCCTTCTCCATAAGCCTCGAGCTCAATTATCGACCGGATAGCCATAAAAGATCAGGCATATTATTTATTTGAACCGTCAGAGAATTAAGAAATATAAGTGTAAGAGTTTATAAGTTTACAACTTCCGTTTTCTTTCGGAGTAATCTAGCGTGACTTATTTCAATTGACACCCAAGTAAGTGATCTGTGGTCGTTCAACTCCTATGGTCACAGGCTTAAATGAAAATTTTGTATATCTCATTTTGGTTTCGTTTCACTGGATCGTTTGGTTTGTAAGTCTTCTTTACAGGAAGGGTACTCTCCACCTGTTTCATAAGATTTTTCTTTTAGTTGTAAGCATGTCGTCCACCTACCAGACGATCAGGGTTAGGAGAGTTTGTTTATTACCTGAGAGGTTTGCTGACACAAGTTTAGTTTTGAAAGAGCCCTACATTTCAAATTTATCAGACGCAATATGAGATTTCGATGTCTAAAATTTGATGTTTTTGCGAGGTCTTAGTGACTAGAATTAGTGATTCCGTGGTCATCTGTGATAACCACGAGAGATAAAATTAGGACAGTCAAGCCTACGATAAGCCATTAGTCGTTAGGAGGGTTTAGGTAAGAAGTGAAGCTGTTTCCGGCGCTGATTTTTTTCCTTCAATGTTTATATCAAAAGCAATTGATTTCAAATTTTGATTAGTAGAGGCTTTACTCAGAATGGGAAACGATAGAAGCTTACAGATAAGGATTACTGGTGTTAGACATTGCTATTTCATAGAAACCGGAAGTATCGTGAACGTGTTCTTTTATTTACATCCAGCCGATATACTAAGTATTTGGCCGAGCCAAAATGTAAGGAATTACTGCAGATAAGCTGTTGCCGACAACCTTTCCAAATGCGTTACGATCATTTAAGCCACATCGTAGCTAGTTTCTCCACATTAATTCGCGAGAAATCCTCTACAGATTCTTCTTGAATATATTCAATGTTGAAAGAAAGGCATTCATTATTCGTTTCAAAGCCTTGTTTCACCCAAGAATATAAACGAGTACCATAGCACTATCAAGGACTAACTTTTTTATGTGCTGGGTGATTTTCTGCGATGGACTTGCGTCCTGTCCACATGGAGTAGCAATATACTAACTCGACACTTCATGCTATATGGAAACTGTGATAACCTCTAGCAGTAATATAAGCGAGTTCCGCTCATAAAATATTGTGTTTTGACAGCTAACATGAAATAACCAGCCTCAAAAAGTAAATGTGCATCAAACAGAGCTGATTTGTATTCATTCCGCTTCTCTTGCAGGAAATTTTGGAGCTGGCTAAGGGATTCAAAGCTATTAGAATCCCCACTGTTTGTCAAGGATGGCATTTTTGCGAATCGATCTCAAATTTCTCGTCTTAATTCAAGTTATGATAATACACTTATTTCCAAAACACGTGTCCCAAGCAACAGCTACCAATAACTGTACAATTGCGGTCAATTCAACTGATGCCTGTGACAAAATCACTTACGAACAAGTTTACAACATCTTGGCGAAATCAGAAAACAGTT